GCCATGGTACGGAAAATTTAAGCTATCATTAATAGTAAACTGTATCTAGTGCAGATGATAGGGTCTGGGTACAAACTTAATGCAGGAAAAAGTTTTTGTTAGGGCTGACTGTTCTTCCCCCTAAAAAAATATACTCTACTACTCACTATCAAAACTTGTATAAAGGCTGAAAGTTTCTAGTAAAGAAACTGTGGTGCTGCGTCGGTAGGGGTAACAAGGTAATTTGGTTATATCAACTAAGTTGAAATTGTAAGTTGGCCACAGTAACAAGTAAAAAAGCTGACGTTTCGAGCATTAGCCCTTTGTCAGAGCGAAACGTCAGCTTTTTTGCATGTTACAGTGGCCAATTTACAATTTCAACTTGGTTGATTTAACCAAATTACTATCAAAAATTGCAATTTAGTTCATGGAGCTTGCTACCCGATTGGAGACATCTCTCTGTATTCAATTTTTGAAGTTTGGAAACAGATCTTAATTGCACTGGTGGAGAAAATTATGGTAGTCTCTGTTGAAGAGCGCCACATTTGTCTGACGGACAATGATTGTTAATACAGTGTAAGTCTAGAATTTACATAATTTTGCCTATTTTGTATGACGACCTGAATGGAAATCATCATCAAATTCTGTTAAATCATAATTATAAAGAAAAATTACTAATCTTGTGGTCAAAATGCTAGTTCTTTGCACAGAAAACATGCCTTTTCAGGACTCCCTCACCCAAAAAATCTTAGATAACATGTGCAGTTTGTATAGATCGAGATACAATCAAATGAACATAGTAGTCAGCTCTGTACATCATGTGTTCACTTGCAAATATCATGTTGGCATTTTAAATTATAATGGATGCATGTTCAAGTTTGTTCAACTTGATGGTTTTCAGGATCAATAGAAGCATGTACCATTCAGTCACATACAGCAGTATTATGTGCATTCAAGCTCTGTTGAAATTTGAACAGGTATGAGTCAGCACTTAAATACTTTAAGACACTAAAGATATTATAATTGTGATGGCTTCTTGCACCTGCTCTGCTGATCAAAACTCCCATTTTTTTTCCAATTTATACAAGACTAAAATTTGCCATATCTAGCAGTCAGAATTAAATTTATCAGACACAGACTTTTGAAACAAGAGAGTAAAATTAACTTGATTTCACTGAAAAGGGGAATACTCTGGGGAGTCCATGCAAATGCTTTTCTAGATCCCTGACAGTGCCTGAAAGAACAGCTTCGAATTATGTATTCAGAACATGTGCACAAATATCTTTAAAAAAAAAACTTTGCATCTCTTGTTCATTGTATGGATCCAGACCTTTGTTTACAACTGGTTTGCTTCAAAAATACAAATCATATACCCTTAATTCTGAAAAAGGTGGGAAGTATCCTCTAGTCTTAGTTGGTCAACCACATGACTTATCACAGTAGCATGACTGTTATTTACATTATAAGTCAACATCGTTACTTTTGAGCAGGTACAGACAATTGAGTTGAAAATTTCTCTTTGTTTATTTCCAGGCAGCAATTCAAAAGGCAAGTGAGAGTGTCAAGATGGCGGTGAATATCTGTGAAAGGTACAACCAATGATTTGTTTATCAATGTTGACAGTGACTTTCAAAAGACATAATGAGAATTAAGAATTCTACTTTAATTATTTTCAGACATAGGAAAAAGCCCACATGGTCAGAGACATTTTCAAGCTGGATATGGAGTTCTCCATATGACGAGTTTTCTACAGGTTTGTGACTATTGTAATCACCCCCTAACTCTGTTTATTCTTTGTTATGTTTGCTTGTTTGTTTGTTTACATTTTTTTGTAACTTTCATTGATAACAACTGACAGTGCACAGGACAACGCTGTAGCTATTCATTGAAAACAAGCCATTAGATCTCTCAATGAATTTAATGGTCTCATGGTTAGTACACTCAACTCTGGATAATTTAAGTGGTTTGGGTTCAAGCCCCGGCTGGGGACATTGTGTTGTGTGCTAAGCAAGACACTTTACTCTCACAGTGCCTCTCTAGATCTTCACCCAAGTCTTT